TTATATTCTTACAAGTGAATTTAACATTAAAGGCAAATTGAAGATTGCTTTAATATTTGCACTTACAAGCAACGGGTAAACAATGAACGATTATGACTGGGCAGTGTCATGGGGATATGGAAGATGAGAGGCAATTCGAGGATCAAGCAAGCTTCACATAGAGACATTTAGATGTAGAACTGGAAACACTGACATGCTACACCTAGGAGAATACAGACACAAACGCTAAGAGACCTGGAGACTCAATGATATTATGAAACATGTCTGGAATAGGATGCTTGGTATACAGTTTAGATGCCAAATGTCCCTCTGAGGGTCAGTCTTGGTTCTCAGCCTGACTACATCTGGATTTAACTAAAATCCAAAACAGAGGGTACACCTGGGAGGGATTTTTACTTAATTTGAAGTAGGCAGATCCTCCTTCTTGAGGCGGGGAGACACAACTCTAATCTGGGCCAGGCCTTCTGCTGGAAGTCTATATAAGGGCTTGAAAGAAGGGAGCTTTTGCTTTGCCTGCTTGTCTTCACCTTGCTAGCCAGTCCGTTTCTTCGCAGGCATCAGAGCCTATTTCTTCGGGATTCCAGTGCATACTGAAGACCAGCTGAGACATCCAGCCTCGAGGCCTGAGCAAGTACTGGCTTCTTGGACTTTCTGTTCAGAGTTCAGACAGCCATTTCTGAATTAGATGGACTGCAGCCTATAAGTCATTCCAATAAATCCCCTTTATCTATAGACTCATTCTCCAAGTGCTGTTACTCTAGAGAACCCTGACTAGCACATCCCCCAAAGGCCTGTGCCCTGCAGGCTTAGTCCATAGCCCACGTTGCTACTGGTAGGTGGGAGAACTAGAGGTACGCAGGACTAGGGAAAGGAGATTAGGCCTTTAGGGACATTCTCTAGGAGGTGACACTGGCCCCTTCCTATCTCTGTGCTCCCTGGTGGCCTCCTCTACCATGAACATCTGCCACAGGCTCAAAGAAATAAGGCCAAACACGTGTAATCTCTGACACAGCAAGTTGACATGTGTGTGATGATATTCCTTCAAGTCAACTGTCTAGTTCACACTGGTTTTCTGACTTCGGGTTTCCGTATTTAAGAAGACGAAATCAGAGCATGGAGGTCCAGACCTAATGTTTTATTCTCTTCCTATGTCAAACAGCATTTATTGTCCAGTTGCAGTAACAAACAACCCCCACCCCGCAAAAAAAAAAAACCCACTAATAAATAATACTGGGCATTCTTGTTATGGATCCAGGCAAAATTCAAATGAAACTTTCCTAACACCTAACAGAGAACACTTTAAAAGAACTGAGCGTGAAACCCGCAATTGCCAGTTCCCATTACACCCTGAAGTCAAATCAATCAACTGTGACAATGGCGAGACCTAAACTATTAAAGCCAATTAAGGCAGTGGATGATTACACCTTTATATATAAAGGAACTATAATCCAGGAAAACAGAATTAAAATAGCCTGCTGCCAGCAGGTGTCTACCATTCTTTCAACAACGCTGACGAGATTTGGAATGATTACAGCATTAAGGATATTTTCAGAAAAATCACAGGTAGGAGTGGTGGACAGGTGGCTCACATTCAAGACTCAAGTCTAATTAAAAAAATGATCTTACTAGCACTAGGTTCTAGCTCCTTCTTTTTGGTTTCAGAGCTGCTTCCACAACCCATAAGGATTGCAGCGCAAGTCGCATACTGGCCCTGAGCTCTAGCGGTGTCCCGGCTACACGAGTTTGGTGACTTACTGGAAGAGCTGCTCCGCAAACACTTCAGCGGAGAACTTCTCTGCCACCCTGGCTCGTCCAGCCAGGCCCATTGTAGCTCTCAAGGATGGCTTGTGGATGAACTGTTCCATTGCCTCCGAGAAGTGCACTGGGTCAGGCTCACACAGAAACCCTGTGACCTCGTGGACGACAGACTCCAAGGGCCCCCCTGAGTTGACGGCGATGACTGGGCACTGCATGTACATGGCCTCCAGAGGGACGATGCCAAAGTGCTCATTGCTCGGGGTGTAAAGCACACACAAACAGCCGTGGAGGAGCGAGATCTTCTGTCTGTCTGAGAAGGATGGCAGGAAGGTCACGTGGCGCTCGAGGTCTGACTGCTGGACTATTTTCTTTAACTCCTTATAGTGCTCCACGTTTTCCAGGACCCTATCGTCGTAACCACCGCCCATGAACAGATGAACCCTCTCCCAGTCTTGAGAAGTCAACCGTCCACGCAGCTGGACTAGGGCGCTCAGCGCCAAAGGTAGATTCTTCTTCCTTTCAAATCGGTTGATAGAGAGGAACAGGAACTGTTTCCCCTTGGGGACTAGGTCATCTATCTTCTCAGGAACAGCCAAGTCAAAGCTGCCGATGTTCAGGGACGGGTAGAGGACATCAGGGTTTATATGAGACAGGGTCTTGAAGGTTTCCTTAAAGACAGAAGCTGTGTACTGGCTGTTGACCAAGATGCGATCTGCCATGCCTGTGGTGTATTCCTCGATCCAGTCAATGGGGGCTCTGTAGAACCGCTTCAGAGCAGAATTTCTCTTGGTAAGCAGTAGATCTGGGAAGTGACAGTAAAAGAGGACCTTCTTACGCCGTCTGGCCAGTTTGAAGACGGGTATACAGGCAGACACCTAACCAAGGAAAAACCGACAGTGGGTAAGTGACTGGCCATGCCAACTGCCATAGCCCAGCTGCCCGGTATTACTGATTCATAGGATCTGGGCAAACATCTACATTACCCATGAAGATAACCACCTCAGGGTGCTTCAGTGCAACTCAGGATCATAATAATGCAACCCCAGAGCAATTGTGGTTACTTGTACCTGTTGGTTTAGTTAGAGCACAATGGCTGGTAGCGTCCACTGTGGAAAAGAACATGGGGTAATCTAGTATAGACACCTTTGGAAGACAAATTTGGAAATGGCTAGTGACATTTACAATGAACTACTCTATAACCCACAACTTTCCCAGCATCCCTAAGGAGTTTCCTCAGAGGACATGCGTAAGAAGTGAGATTAGTGTGAGGCTATCCCATCTTGTGCAGTACGAGAATGCCATACCTAGTCTCTCTCTCCCACACACACGCACACACACACACCTGGTTGCAATGTTAGTGTTCCTTAGGAAGATGGAAACATTTATGGTACATTTGAATAAACGGGACTTTCCAGCCACCGAAAGACAGATGTGGATCTTGAGTGTCAATAAGCTTGGATGTCCAAGTTTCTGCAGTGTCCAACAGCTGGCAAACTGAATCCCAATTATGTACAAGTAAGATGTAGCCAGGACCGGGCACATATATGCTACTGTAGCCACACGTCACTTCTGGAAGTGCTGACAGTGGCTCTCTCAAGGAGGGAACTGGGAACTTTTACATTATACTTCCTATTTGAATTTTTACTCCTGAGTACATGTTACTTCCCAATTAAAAAAAAAAAAAAAAGAAGGGCTGGGGCCTTGGCTCCAGGTGGTAGGGTGGGAATCTAAAGTTTGACTCCAACTGCCCACATAAACCCAGGCTATGGAAGTGCATACCTGCCTAAAAGTCTAGCCAAATCTTTCAGTTTCTGGTTCAATGAGAGATCCTGGTTAAAACGTTCAGGTGGTGACTGACGGAGAAATATACCTGACATTGACGGTTTCCATAAGCTGTACAGACATAAATATACCCACCAAGCTTCGGCCAACCCCCAAACTGAATTGTAAAAAACACCTACGAAACAAGTCTGGTATGGCTATGGGGCAGATAGGGCTGAATGCTATTTACCAAAAACTTGGGACTTCAAATCAGCAAGGTGGCTTACATTGTAAACCCAGTATCTGGGAGGCAGAGGCAAGGAGGTGTCCATCTGGGAGGACAGTCTGGGACCACTTAACAAAACATACAATTGGGACTTTTCTCCAAGACCAGTGGGGACAATACTAAAGTTTTAATGGGGATATAATAGATTTAGCTTGAAAAATCCTGGAGTGGGCGGGACGAGGAAGATTGGAGAGGGTGGGATGGGGATGGGACCAGGAAGCAGAAACAATCATAGGAATAACGGAAATGAACAAATGGAGTTAGAGACACAAGGAGTGACAGGTCACTTTTAATGCTCGTGTTCCTTGGAGCGAACCCCCCTTCTTCCCCCGACCCAGCTACTTTAGTCTCAGGACGAATCATTTAAAATGCAGGCATGTGAGCCCTATCTCAATGCCTTTAAACGAAAAGGGGTGGGGGTGGGATTCCTGAGATCTGCCACTTTGAAGGATCCATACTAAAACTGGAGACAGTTCTCTCCCTGGGGACTCACGCTGGGGACAGTTCCAAAAAAAAAAAAACCCAGCCCAGGGGTCCCGCCCCCCTCACCTGGTCGCACACGACCACGTCAAATTCCTCGCCAGAGAGAAACAGCACGTAAAGGGCCAGAAAGATCATGCGCACGTAGGCGCAGATGGCGGCGCCGCGGCCGCCCCAGCCCAGGCTGCGGGGCAGCCAGTCCCCGGCGCAGTGCACCGGGAGCTCGCGGGTCTCCAGGAAGCAGTGGTTCGGGTTGTAGTGCGCGGTCCATATCTTCACGTCACAGCCGTACTCCTGCAGCGCCAGCGCCGCGTCCAGCACTAGCCGCTCGGCACCGCCCACGCCCAGGTCCGGGTGCAGGAAGAGTACGGACGGGGGGTAGACCCGGGCCCGGGCTCGGCACAGGTTTTCGGCCATGGCCAGGCAGCCGCGCCTGCTCCCTGCGCGCGAGCTCCGTCAATCTCCGCCCCTGGCCCCGCTAGCCACTGAAAGCCGACCGGTCCCTGGGACGCGTGCGTCGGTTTAGGCCACATCAGCGGCAAACTTGTGGTCGTTAAGAAAATGCCTGAGTAAATCGCCCGCATGCGACAACTAAAGCGGCTCATTTGGTGATATTAGTCCCCATGAAAGGCTCTAAGATCAAATTAAAGACGTTAAAGGTTTGTCGTATTTCACTCGGTCCAGTTGTTCTCAGCGTAATTTATACAGGCATATCCTAGGACAGCTCAGACGTCCTAGAGTCTGCGAGGACCCTGCCAGCCGGCTGGGGGCGGTGCCAGAGCCTGTCTCCGCTGGTGCTCCGAGTGCTCGGCAACTTCTCGACTTTCCTCTCCTGCGCCCTCCCCCGTACCCGTTTTTCTTCGGCATCAGCATGGTGCGCGGCTCCCCGCTTCTGGCCCGTCCTTGCCTTGGTCTCCCCTTGTCCCAGCTTCCCGGGTGGGGGCGGGCCGGGGATCTGAAGCGGGCCGGCGATGCTCACAGTCTGTCTGCTTCTCTCTGCAGCCGGGTCCGACACCCAGTGGCACCAACGTGGGCTCCTCAGGGCGCTCTCCCAGCAAAGCGGTGGCCGCACGGGCGGCGGGATCCACGGTCCGGCAGAGGTAAGGGCAGGAATTCGCACTGCGGGATGAAGTCCAGGATGGGAAGAAGATTCGCAGGGCCCGGGTGAGCCCGAGCTGACGTGGCCATCCAGTAATTAAAGGCCCTTGAGGGAGGCTTCGTTTTCCTGTCCTTGATCAGTTGCACGCACCACTATAGTTATAGGGAAGTTGAATTAGACTAGGGTCAGTAACAACTTTGGGAAAGGCGATGGCATAAGGCTGGTGTCTCTGGGGCTTTATCTTTCTGACTTTCACCGAGAGGTCCAATACACACTCAGTTTAACAAAACTTGCTTTACACAACAGCCTGGCACCCTAGTTCCCCACTCCCAGCTGCTCGTGTGTCTTGGATCTAGTTCTAGTGTGTGTGTTGTGTGCTCATGTGTGTGTATGTGCGTCATGTCCCTGCCTGGTGCTCTCGGAGGTCAGAAGAGCACATCAGATCAGCTGGAACTGCAGTTAGGAATGATTGTGAACTACCGTGTGAGTGCTGGGGACTGATTTGGGGTCCTTTGCAGGAGCGGCAAGTACTCTGAGCCATTTCTTCAGCTTCAATGTCTCCTTTTTTTGTTTGTTGTTTTGTTTTTGATTCTTCGAGACAGAGTTTCTCTGTGTAGCCTTGGAGCCTGTCTTGGAACTTTCTGTAGATCAGGCTGGCCTTCAACTCACAGAATTCCTCCTGTCTCTCTGCCTCCCCAGTGCTGGGATTAAAGGCACCATCACCACCTGGCTCTTCCTTATTTTTTAAATGACCTTGCTATATGCTTATTTACAGAAATCCAGAAACTCCAGTCATTTCTTTCTTTCTTTTTTTAGTTTCTTCTTCTTTTCTGTCCAGTCATATGCCAGGCTTCACTGGAAGACGTTCTTATTGCTTCTCTTCCTCCATTTCTGTCAATCCAGTTTAGCCCTCAAATTTTTTCTTTCTTTCCTTTTTTATTGAGCTATATATTTTTCTCCGCTTCCCTCCCTACTTCCCCCCTTCCCTTCTGCTCTCTCCCATGGTCCCCATGCTCCCAATTTACTCAGGAGATCTTGTCTTTTTCTACATCCCATGTAGATTAGATCCATGTATGTCTCTCTTAGGGTCCTCTTTGTTTTCTAGGTTCTCTGGGGTTGTGAATTGTAGGCTAGCTTTCGTTGCTTTATGTCTAAAAGCCATTTATGAGTGAGTACATGTAATAATTGTCTTTCTGGGTCTGGGTTACCTCACTCAATATGATGTTTTCTAGATCCATCCATTTGCCTGAATATTTTTTTCTGCTGTGTAGTACTCTATTGTGTAAATGTACCACCTTTTCCTTATCCATTCTTTTTTTTTTTAAAGATTTATTTATTTATTATGTACACAACATTCTGCCTCCATGTATGCTTGCATGCCAGAGGAGGGCGCCAGATCTCATTACAGATGGTTGTCAGCCACCATGTGGTTGCTGGGAATCGAACTCAGACCTCTGGAAGAGCAGCCAGTGCTCTTAACCACTGAGCCATCCCTCCAGCCCCCTCCTTATCCATTCTTTAGTCAAGGAACATTTAGGTTGTTTCCAGGTTTTGGCTATGACAAACAAATCTGCTATGAACATAGTTGAGCACATGTCCTTGTGGCATTATTGCGCATCCTTTGTATATATACCCAAAAATAGTATTGCTGGGTCTTGAGGAAGGTTGTTTCCTAATTTTCTGAGAAATTGCCACACTGACATCCAAAGGGGCTGTACCAGCTTTCAGTCCCACCAGCAATGCGAGAGTGTTGTTTTCTTTACCCCACATCCTCTCCAGCATAAGTTGTCATCAGTGTTTTTGGTCTTGGCCATTCTTCCAGGTGTAAGATGGAATCTCAGAGCTGTTTTGATTTGCATGCTCTCAACCTCTTCTGCTTTGCATTTCCACCACTGTCCATCCTCCAGCCTGCTGTTTGTCTTCCACTAGATTCTCTGCAAGTTTTTGGTGGCTGCATGTTAAAAAACGGGAGCCTGTGGAGGAATCCCGGGGCTCTCCTTCCTCCTGTGATCCAGCAATTCTGAATTTGTTACCATTTTCTGAGCTCCATATCCTCATTCGGTCTGCCCTCTTCTCAACTATTTATTTATTTTTTTGTTTCTTTTTAGACTCACGTAGCCCAGGCTTAAACTCATAACCACCCTGCCTTCACCTCCCAGGTGCTAGTATTGTAGTTTTGTTAATAGTAGGAGATTTTATGCTTACATGTTCATTCCTCCACTTCAGTAATGAATCTCGCCATATCCTCGTTCCCAGTTCCTGTCTTAAGTAACGCCATAATAAATGTTAATTGAAGGAATCAGTCAACCCTGTTACTGTGTTTTTGGAACACCTAGAAAGGCCTTTTTCTAGAGAGGAGTAGACTATGAAAACTCGAAGTGAACTTTAAAACTGTCATTCAGAAGGTGGAGAGAAAGGCTTGGGGATATGGAGGGTCAGTAGTGGAGAGCTTGCCTAGCACGTGTAAGGCCATGGGCTTGGTCTCTAGCACCACACACAAAGCACAACACAAACCATCCACGAAAGAAGAGACGAGGGACCTTTCTTGTTGACTACTGTAGGAAAATCTAAGTCTATGCAGTGAATTTAGACTAGGTGGTTTAAACATGTGTGCCATAGATTGCAGCTCTAGACGGGAGTTCTCATAGAGCTGTCAGAATGATAAGGTGGTCCTGGGTGACTGCAAATGTTGCATCACTAAGATATTTAAAGGAAGTGTATTGAGTGACGGTGTAGGCTGTATGGTCCTGGCTCCTGTGTTGTTGCTAGCTGGGGTTTCAGAGACTCTTTGTGCTAGTCTTGTAGGTGTGGATCCATCCTTGGAAATTGTTTTTTGTTCAAGAAGAATTAATAGGGAAGTTTGGCTATCTGAGAACTTCGTTTATTTAATTATTTTCTATTTTATTTTATTTTTATTTTTATTTTTTTTTTTCAAGACAGGTTTCC